CTTTCCCCCTCCCTTGGACCAACCTAATGGAAGACTGTAGAGAAGTGCCTGCAGGGCGGAGGTCCTCTCTGGAGACATGATGCCTTCATTTAGACTGTCAAATAACTTATTCTGTCAAAGAAGAGCAGTAATTTTGCTCTGGTGTGAAAGTAAGATTAAAGCAAGGCGAGGGGGTTGTGCCACCCTTGAGTTCTTACTGTCCCCTCTACAGAATTGCTCGGTTTTGCAGTAAAATGTCTTTGGCTGAGGAGAGGGCGCACAAGCAAGCATGTCTCTCTAGCCCAATGGTTAAAGAAGTGCAGAAATCCTCACTGGAGTGGGGGATGCTCTGGTCTGGGCTCTGGCTAGCATGCTAACAGGAGAGTTTGAACAGCTGTGCGGCAGGGTCTGCCAGCACCTCGTTTAACTGAGCTTGATCTGGGTTATGCCAAGAGGGCCTAAGTGAGTTATAATTAGATCTGAGCTCTTGAACAGCTCTGAACATCCTTTATTTCAGCAACTAAGACCCCTCACTACAAGAAAGACGTTGCATTGCTGGAACGTGTCCAGAGGAGAGCAAGGAAGCTGGTGAGGGGTCTGGAGCACAAGGCTGATGGGGAGCGGCTGAGGGAGCTGGGGGTGTTCAGCCTGGAGAAGAGGAGGCTGAGGGGAGACCTTATCGCCCTCTGTGACTGCCTGACAGGAGGGGGGAGCCGAGGGGGGTCGGCCTCTTCTCCCCGGTAACGGGTGATAGGACGAGGGGAAATGGTCTGAAGTTGCGCCAGGGCAGGTTTAGGTTGGACATTAGGAAAAATTTCTTCACTGAAAGGGTTGTCAAGCACTGGAATGGTTGAGTCCCCATCCCTGGAGGTATTTAAAAGCCGGGCAGACGAGGTGCTTAGGGACATGGTTTAGTGGTGGGCTTGGCTTTGTTAGGTTAACAGTTGGACTTGGTCTTAAAGCTCTTTTCCAACCTAAACGATTCTATGATTCTATGATTCTTTAAATGGCAGAATCGATACCCCATCTAGTGGCCGAAGGCTTTCTTAGTCATTAGATTTTTATACTCGGTTAATTTTACACTGACACCCCCAATACCTTGCACAGGAATTTGCCTCTCAATAGCGCCAGCAGCCACCCTGGCCTCTGTTTTGTTAGCTGTAAGATGGGCAGAGCCCCCTTCACGGGGACGCTCTGGGACAGGGCTGGCCCCTGGAAGAATGGACTTGAAGAAAATCCCTTCTGAGAGTCACTGTCTGCTAACGCTTCGCATTGGAGAGTGACTATCCATGGGGAACCCAGCTTCTGAAAACCCTTCACTGGCATGGGCTGGGTGGAGTTTTAAGTACTGCCCTGGATGTGGACGCTATGTTAAGATTTTGCTCAGGTACAGAAAGTAAAAAGAGTAAAGTATGCTTTACTTAAAAGAATACACAGTTCTTCCAGGGGTCAAAATAAAATCCTGAGTGCTGTTAATGAAGCTCCTCATTTGCTTAAGGTTTCTTGGTGGTACTCGCTATTTGCCTGCTTTTCTTGCAGCAGCTTGCTTTAGCTTGAGCTAAAAAAAAAGAAAGTGCTCATGTGGGAGTTCTAACTGTCCTTTTTGAACTTCCCTATTACTGCAGTCATGAGACTTCCTGATCAGCCTTAACAAATCAGTAAGAAATCAGTGATTTGACACGAGGTGACTTCACCCATCCCACCCGCTCTTGCCAGTGAAGCTGTCCCTCCAGAGGAGGAGTTTCGGGGGAAGGTGGCTTCCCATCGAGAGGAGCAGCAGTCACTGCCTCTGTTCTGCGCTGGGTGGTCAGGTGCCACTGCCCTTCCGAATTGTGGTGAGATGGAGACAGAGGGGTCAGCTGATTTACATGGGCAGACACGTGCAGACTTCATAGTTTCAGCCAGAATTCCTAAGCTGTGTAGAGATTGCTTAAATCTCTAAATTGTGTACGTGACAAAATTCCAAAATTGATTTTTTTTTCATGGGAATGTATTTTGAGTGACTAAAATTTTCCCAGGAGAGTGTTCTGTGATTCAGAATGGCACTTCTGGTCAGACCCAGAGCAGGAAAGTAGGAATAGGTAATGGCTAACATGCGTCAGATCCAGAAAAACTGATTTCAGTTTTCAGTCCCATCCCAGGGACTGGGCCCGGGGTCTCACGCGCTGGGTAAATGCCCCAGGCAGGGCAGCTGGCAGCTATCACGGACCTCCCTCCACCTCCTCACCGAGCTGCTCAATTCTGCACACTCTGCTAGTTGGACCAGAGATCCCAAGATCCTTCTGCATCCAAGATCGTTCCAAGATCCAAATCCGAGATCGTTCTGCAGAACCGCAGGCGGAACACACGCCCTTTTCAAATCCAGCGGAGGCTGAGAGATACCTGCCCCACAGCCATCCACGATCAATTGCTAGCGGCACATTTCAGCTGAAGGAGAACAGAAACTTCATGTATGCTGGGTATGCTACCCAGCTGCTAATGGTAAAGGTCAAAACCTTCCATTCCCCAGCCCAACGGCCTTCAGCACGCGTCATTTAGTCCATCTGGCAGTAGCTCAGCAGGAGGACAAGCTGTGTTTCTATCAGGTATGGCCTGAGCAGTGTGAAACGAGGTTACATAGGAAGAGATTTGTGTAAATGACTGCTTTGAGTTCGTGGCCTGCTGACTTTTGGGTGCGTAAACCCATTTTGGTAGGACAATTAGAACGGTTCTGGCTTGGCCTCCGCAAAAGTCCAGCTAGTCTGCTCTCCTGCCTGCTGCGGGAAGAGGAAGCTTAAGGGAAGACTGCGGGAACAGGGGGAGAAGAGAGCCTGGTGTTACACCCTCACAACTGCTGCTGATCCTCGGTGAGGGATCTCACAAACAGAAATTGCATCAAAAGTGTTTGGTTGAAACTCTGCCTTCGTATAAGAACCAATATTCCCGACACACTTCACCTGTAAATTAAAAATGATCTTAAAGCTTATTCTAAAGTTGATCCTCTAACTGATGGTAGTGCTCTACCGACAGCTGTAAAGTAGAAAATCTATTTGTTTTTAAAGCACCTCTTGAACTTAAAGTATATCACAACAGTTCTCTTTTTGAATGATTATTATTTTGTAATGCCTACCTAAGAGCAGCTTACAAATACACTTAATAGCTTGAAGGATTTTTAGATCAATCCATGCAGCTCTTACAGAGCAATTGTCACTATGGTTAAGCCAGAATTACACTGAACTAGGTCACTCTTGCTTTTTAAGTGTAAAAAAAGAAAAATAACTCATTGAACTCCAAGGAGGAGTGAAAAGTCAATGAACAGTGAAAGTTGCCGGTACTTGGCAAAATTTCTTTCCAGCTTTCTTTGTAGGGAGCATTCACAGTAGTATTTGGATGGAATTCATGGATCTTCTGTAATGGCTGCTGCTCGCTGTGAAAGGCGAGAGCAACAAGTGCGCAGGAGTTACTCTGAAGTTAAAAACCCCAAAAGTCACCAGTAAAGCCCTGTCGTTTAATGCTACAGCAAGGTAAATACCTGGTGCCTCGGCAGCTCTGATCCACGCTAACTGAGGTGTTCTCTCTTTTCATCATGGTTTTCTACCTTGGGATATATTATGCCACTTGGTTGCCCTGAGGTGAAGTACGCAGCCCTTTTTCAGCAGAGAAAGCCAGCCCTGAATAAAATGTGCTCGATTACAACGCTTTCCAAATAGGAGCCAGAGCAGCACTTTCCAGAGGTCAGTTCACAGCCTCCCAATGGCTCTCCCGTGCCCCCCTCGCTAGGGACACGGCGGGGCGGCTGCAGGCACCTGGTTAGCACTGCACTGGGTGGGATGGCGCTCCTGGAAATCCCCGTGAGCCAAAGTGCTCCTCGCTCCGGCAAACACAGGGGTGCAGCCAAAGAAATTCGGAGGTAGAGTATTTCTTTGCAAATTCTCTATAAAGAGAAGGAGGATCACACAGTTCCTTGCAGGTCCTCAGCCATCAAACGGCAGGCTACAAGGCCAGACCTTCTTAATGAGCGACAGGTTAAAAAATGATGGCTAACGCAGTAACTCCCATGCAGGGAGATCTCAGGAGAATCTTGGCTTAAGTCACTTTTATACAAGCTATTTCAGTGTAGTACTGGAAATTTCATGGCTTCTGCTATATCTGTAGGGATAAAGATGTTGATTAGATCATTACATTTCATCCAGCACAGTCTATTTCTGGATGTTCCTTTCTAATACGTTTGGAGACCAGCAAATATAGTTGAATTTATTTATAGTACCAGAATAAATGAAAAATGCTTCTTTCTATATAAGCATTTGAAAAAGCTGTTGTTTTCCCTCTTTTGCAAGGACAAGTACTTTTAATATGCCGTTTGGATGTGTTCAGTGAATGAACGTACAGGAGCCTAAGTTCACAGTTATTTTTATTTAGCAGATGTAGAAGTTTCTAAGGAAGGGGATTCTGAAAATAGTTGCGAGTCTCTGGAGTTGCTCAGCATTCCAAGAATAGTTATTTCTGCCTTCCCTTGAAGACGTATTTTAACTTGTCAGTCCTATGAAAACGCAGGCTGTTCAATATCTAAAAATTATGTCTACTGGGTTTTAAGTTAAGGAACAAATTAAGAAAAAAGTGTGAGCCTGAGACTGTCTCATGTTGCTTGTTACTTTCTGAAGGGATCAAAAAGTTTCCAGGTGTGTCCTTTTGATCCTGGTAGTTTAATGACGGATAGTTTAAAAAGGCTTTTGATGTTTCTGCAGAGATACCGTACCTCTGACCTCTGAATTCCCCTGGGGGCTTTGCCCTTTTGTGCGAGGCCTCGCGTTCTCCATTTTTGCAGGGGAAAGCCCTGTGGTTTTGCAAGGAAGAGTTCTGCTGTTGCAAGGCCCGACTCTGCAAGTCCAAGAGTTTGAGCTCCCGTTAACATGCTCCTTTATGGTAAAATACAGATGGCAGAACTGTTGCAGCAACAAAAGACGGCTTTTTAGGAGACAGGATTTAAGGACCCTCTATGTCAGGTTCTTAAAGCAGACTGGAAAAAGCAAGTATTAACACACCCTGTTGCCATCACAAAGCCATGTCTTGTCTATCTTTGCATTGAAATGAAGTCCTGACACAGCTGCTTTTACTGCCAGTTGCCAGAAGGTGACTTTCTCATTCACTTCCGCGCCCTTCTTCTTGTCAAAGCTATAAAACTAAAAGCTTTAAGGAAATGAAAAGAAAGAAAAGTTTTTCTCATTTCTGGCTTGTGCTTGGATCTTATTCTCATTACGTGCCTGAGGAGAGACTGGGGCTTTAATGTTCAGATCAGGGTATGTTTTAGGTTGTCTGGATGATGGTAATAATAGGCCTCCTCCACTGGACGTAACACGATCGTCTTTGGCAGGGAGCGTGAGAATCCCCTGCTAAACATGAACGGAGCAAAACGGGGCCCCGAGTGCTGCGGGCAGCATCTGCAGCTTTGTGAGTGACATTTAACAGGAGCACCCGCCCGGCGTCCCCCCTCGGAGGAACCGGCGCGGCTGTGGGATTGCGTCTTCCGTCCTTGAAACACCGCCTGGCCATTTGGATCTGCCGGGAAAGGCGACGTCGCGCAGCTCTTGGGCGCCGGTGACCGAAACAACGAGCCCCTTGGCCTGTCTAGGTAGCTGAGGTGATAACCAAATTGCTTCCATGTCAAGAGCTTTGCCACTGGAACGTGGGCTCTCCGCACATCCGAAACCTACGTGTCCCCGCTGCGGCGTCAGGCACGCCCTCTGCCTCATTGGGCTGCCTCACCCAAGAGGGATCAGAAAACCTAACGGGGAGCACCTCGAGAGCGGGGCAGCACCAGCAGACAGCAAAGCTGCTCGGAAGCGTTTTGATCCTCCAAAGCGCGTGTTAAACCGAAAGCCGCGTCCCTGCTTTCTCTCTGCCTGCAGTGGTACATGCTGTGCTCAAGGGCTTTCTGCACGTCCCACAGCAGCGCTGCGGAAAGGTTCATCAAATGTCATGAAGCTTCTATATTTACCTGTCTGCATCACGGCCTCCGATAAATCATTCCTGGGCAGCAAACAAATCCAGTTGTACTGTGCTCTGCCAACGATTTGCCTGCATGTCTAAGCTCCTGATTGAGGACCTTGAGCCCTGAGACTTTGTTTGATGCGAGGATGCAGTGTGCATTTTATTTTCTGGCAACAGGGTTTTCTTCAAATAGTATGCTGTCGGAGTGTGGTTTTGTTACTTATTTCTGCAAGAATATGCGTTTCTCCTCCTTTTCCCAGGCTCTCATTTGTTATCAAGGGCATAGTCCTACTCCTGTTTTAATTAAAACATTGAATAAAAAAATCCCACCTATGAACAAAACTGGGAACCATCCCAGCTTCCGTCCGTTTTGGTAAAATCCCACTGACATCAGCAAGAATAAGGCTGGGGGTTCCAATGAAATCAGCATTACCGTTATAAATAGCAAACCCTTCCTCTGCTCTTCTCCTGCCCCCCCAAAAACCCCCAAACCATTGCAACTAGCATTGCATCAGCATTTCCGTGCAGGGGCTGGGAAGACCCATCGGGCTGGGGTGACTAACCTGGTTCTTTACTCGTACCGGGGTTCCACAGCTGCACTGAAATACCACTCCAAGGACATCTCCTCTGAAAGAGCATCCGTCTTCAAGGTGTCAGGCACGCAAATCTGCTTTTTAAGAGGGCTACAGATGAAGGGATATTAGAAAGCAAACACTATAATGTATTACTGCTACTGGAAATACTATGATCTCACGGGGAAGAATAATTTCTAATTTATATAAAAAAAGCAAAACCAAAACCCAAAGCAAAAGGAGCCCATGCATCTGATAATATTGCTAACATAGGTTTGAGGCAAAAGCCGTATTTTCCCAGTGGTTTGCTAAGATGTCCCTTCTGCTATCAGATTTTTAAGTTTCTTACTGTATTCGAGATCCTACTTGTATTTATTCCAGTGGTGTCAGTCTTTCTTTTGCCCTTTCTTAGCATTCAGCAACAGCCCGTGCCCCCAGGCGCAGGACTCCCAGCCTGGCGCTCAGATCACTTGCCTTCCTCAGTTTTAACCCATCTGCGGTGCAAGGCTTTTCCTCCGTTCCCTGCTCTTTCAGGGTTTTATGCAAGGGTGAATTTGGGTCACCATGCATTATTCACCTGCATTTAGTGTACACGTCGGTAACTTATAAAAGGCAGCGTGGCTTCGCTCTCACTTGTCCTTTTCAACGCAACCGAGCCAGCAGGCTTGGTGTGCTCTCAAGTTGTTCATTGGTGGTTTTGTCTGGAAACCAGTGTCTCGCATCCTCCTCTGCTCTCCGCTGGTGGAAATATTCCCTTACCCACATACACTGCCCTGAGCAGCGATTCCGCCTCGCCTCCATCACGGGCATCACCCCCCCGGCCGGCCGATCTCCAGCAACCCAAGCAGCAGAGAGTCAGCTGCCTAAACTCTTCCCCGGTCTGCGTGGTGTTCCTGGCTCCCTCTCCCTCCGTGGCTTTGGTTGCAGTGGAAAACACAGAATAAAACAATGAGGAAAGACCAGTGGTAATCAGAGAGCTGGACGAGACTTGCTCTCCCCTGTCTGTCCCCCTGATTCACGCTAGCCTAACCAGCTGGTGTGGGATTTTGAATCATGGTCACGCCTCGGGGCTGGTGAAAAAGCCAGAAGGATACACAGTGGGTTTCCCGGGTTTGAAAGTGCTTTGGGGTCACCTAGTCAGTGAGAAAAAAATCTAAGCAAAGCCAGACTGCGCGAAAAAGGGAATTTGTTTCCCTGAGGGGCAAACAGGGGCTAAAAATCGCGTGTTCTCTATCCCCAGTTGCTTTCTGTGTTTTAGTTTGGAGCATCAGGGAATGCGGGAAAGAGGCGATAGGGTTGGGGCCAGGCCCACTGCATTTGAACGGTTGCACGGGGGGGATTTGGGATCGGTGAGGTGGCTCACAGGACAGCCCGTGGTGCTGCTGCACACAACATATGGATGTAGAAAGAAGTCTCTGCCCAGCTTTGCCAGAGAGCATCAAACTCTCACTGAAGGGGGTAACCGTCCTCCACCCTCAGCGTCCTGCGGTATTAAAGAGAAGGCAAAGGACACGTGGGGGAAAGACGCTCATCCAGGGACAAAATAGGAATTCAAAAGCGCAAAACAGTTTACTCTGCAATAAAGCAAAGATTGTTTTCCCAGCTCAAATGCGTGAAAAGTATTTTCCATTTATATTTCACTAAGACTTTTATTGATATGGCAAGTGAAGTGAGATGCAGAATTATGAACATTTGGCGACTCCTATGAGAAAAAAAAAAAGAAGCTTGGAATGCATGACATAAACAGCCAGGAGCCAACACTTTCCTAAAACTTTGCAAAAATGCTTCTAGATGAAAGAGACAACTGCAAGAAAAGTTAGCGGATAATTAATAAAAGCCGTTTAATACATTATGGGCAGTGCCTGGTTTTAAGATTTGTATTTTTGTGATAAAATCATACAAGGTGTATGCAGGGGAACAGAGCCGTTCCTGCTCTCGGGGGCTGGTAGGACATATCCATGGGGCTCTCAGAACAGTAGTGATGGCTCTTGGTTTTGAGAAGTTCAGGTAAAAATACCAAGCACTATGAGGTCCTGACAAAGCCCTCACAAACCCAGGGTTTGCCCTCGCTTACCGCAGAAGCACCAGCCTTATGGCAAGAAGCACTCAACAGCCCCATCCTTACTCACCCATCACTTTCCCCTAAATACAGGGGACTTCCACATCCCTTGGGTCAGCTGCACGAAGGCAAGATGTGAGTAAAGCAGCAGCCGAGTCCCAAGACCGCTGACTGCTTCACCTACAGCACAGCTAAGCCGTAGACCAAGCGGGATTCCTCCTTCCCCGGCTTCACAACAGTTTAAATGTGGCAGAAATCTTGCAATCCACAGGAGAATGTTACTTCTGTAAAAAACCAAACAAATTAAAAAAAAAAGAGCAGAACCCTGACATTGCTGTACAATGAGTCAACCGGTTGGGTTTTCTCTGTTTTTAGACCAGTATTTATTCGCCTCCAGTCACTCCTGGTAAGGTTTGACGGCTGCAGGAGGACCCGCTAGGCAATTCGTGTGCGTCCCTTCAGCGTTTTGAGGGACAGAGCGAGCGCAGAGAGGCGTTGTCTTTCTGCTGCTGCACCTGGGACCTCCAGAACAGTTTCCAGAAGCACAGTGAGAAGGTAGGAAGAGCCTGTAGAGCTGATGGAATGGAGGCATGCTGATGAAAAGTCAGTCCTGACAGATTTATGCAGATAAAGTAATACATGAAGAGCCAGACTACCTTGGCTCCTCATAAATCTTCTGCTTGAAGTCCCCTTGTAGGCAATCATGAGGTGCTGTTCCCAGAAATGGGAGGGTGAAGTTTTAAAGTATTAAAAGGTCAAGGCAGACAGCTGCCCAGTGTGAAGGCCGAAGGCCCCTCTCCTCCCTCTCTTTCTCTCTCTCAAAAAAAGACATTACTGGGGACGCTGGTAAGGAAGGGACGCTATTTTTTAGGGGATGCTATTTTTTAGCAGGGTATGATCTGTGCAAAGCAACCCCTACTGCAACGAGCTCCCCTTTCACAGCCAAAGGGGTGAATATGAGGATGTTTCTGCAGTCACTTCCGTATCTCCCCCCACCCCATGCCCCAGGCATTTATAACAAAATACAGAACCTGCAAGTTGCTGGAGCCCTTAGTGCTCATGGTAGACAGCGTTAATCAGAACAGTTATTCATTACACATGGTAGTTAAACCTTTTTTTTTCACCCAGGCAATCTTAACTGCCAAGTTCACAACACGCCATAAGTTATTACAACGCCGCGTCAGCTGCTAGCTAGTTACTCTTGCTGCCCAGGCAATCTTAACCGCCAAGTTCACAACACGCCATAAGTTATTACGCCGCGTCAGCTGCTAGCTAGTTACTCTTGCTCCAGTTTGTCAGCCTGACCGTATTAGTTTGTCTGCTGACTGATGGAAACCACAAGACACAGGGGGGGATGCTGGGTTGGGAAAGCGTTGTGGGCCTATGGGTGGGGAAGAGAAGGCTACTGAGATTTATTATCCCCCACCCCAAACCAGATCTGAGGAAAACAGCAAATGCTTCTTCATTCAGCTTGCCTCTCAAACCCTTTATTCAAGAGCCTTCCCCAAATCCCCATATTGGCTCTTTGTAGCCTGAAAGAGCAAGGAATCTTTTCATATGCAGGTGCAATTCCCTCGCAGGGTAGGAAAGGCAGCTCCCTGCCAAGGTGGTTCTTTTCCAGCCCGACTCCAAAGGGAGCCGCAGCCTTCCACTACTGAGCTTTCTCCCTTTTGCGAGACCCGCACCCCAATTGAGAACCCGTCAGCATGGAAGGAGACAACGGGGAATGAAGGGAACTAGCCAAGGGATGGTTTATTACAAAGCTGGTACGCATCCGAGGAGGACGCTGAACCCTACAAGGAAACACTAGCACTCATTTACAAACAGAACTCAGCATTTTTTATTCATTGATTGACTTCCTGCCAGTTTTGATATTTGCTACCACCAGAGAAGAGCGTAAAAACACAGTACAACATTGTTAACCAGTTAGGAAGGCTGGAAGGGAAAGCAAATCCCAGTACAATTGCAAGTAACTTGGTGGAGTTTATAATTAAGATTTTCTTTTTTTTTTTGAACGGATCAGCAATGAAGCAATAAATATGCTGCTGCACTGAACCAACAACAGGACTTTTCACTAAGTTTGTGGTTTATTGCATTACAGTTTAAAACTAAACGTTATCCATCATCATACATTAGTTCACCAACCAGGTAAATGACACTTTTTTTCATGTGTTATATGCTAAATGGCTAAAATTATGCAAGTAGCTGAACTAGACTAGGACTAGTAGAGGTAGATATTGAATGGGCAGTGCCAGGCAGAAATATTTTGTAAAAGAACTTTTTGTCTTTTGTCACGAACAGTTAGCAGATGTAACATTCTCAATTAAAACAACAAACATCTTAGGAAGGCTGTTCTAAGATGCTTTGGATTTTCTAGTAATATTTCTCTCACGATCTTCTTACACACCCTTTGATATGGTCCCTTGTAAACTGGACAATCTTTGTCCCCCGAGTTTTCTGCCGTGATTTACTTGAAGACCAACATACAAAGCTAGAATCTTTGTGAACATACTACTATTTGCTTGTACCACTCTAAAAGTAATACACATTTACAGCCTCCTTGGCAAGGGAAGACTGCATTTATAGTATTTACAGCTTCGGTAATCTTTCTAGTAGTAAAAAAGCTATTTTATACTTAATCTAAAACGGAATTTCTATTGCCACCTCCTTGTAACTCGCTTCAGTCTCCTTTTGCCGAGCTGCTCTACCAGCTGCTCCTTGCCGTTCTCACTGCTGGCTCTATGCTCTTGGGAAGAAGAGTCTCTGCCCAAAACAGGCATTAAAACTGGTGTTTGTAGACTGCAGCTTTGATTTCACAGAAATATGACCACGACAACATGACCATGAGTTTTGTAAAAGTGTACGCCCCTTGCTCCTTACCACATCCAAGAACAGTTCACAGCCTGAATGCTCCTGGAAGCAAGAGTCTTTCCCCAAGCTCTGCAACCATTTCCCTCCATCTGGAATTTTAACTTTCATTAACGAGCTTACAGACTGCTCAACTCCTTACTGATAAGATGGTCTAATTATACTGCATTTGCATTGTTTTCCTACGCAGAATCCCAAAGCAATAAGTTATCAGACAAGCATTAACTCTTACTTCCACATAGTCCAAGCTATTAGGTACAAAACTGCATTTTTAGAGCAAGCTTTCTTAGTGGGAAAGACAGGGGAAAGACTTCAAAGCCAGCTAGCTACCCAGTACAGAACACTTAAAAAACATTTAAAGCAATCATGAAAGGGAAAAAATAAAATAATTTAAATTCAGGTATACTGAGAGCTGGATTATCCTATCAAGTGGTTTTGTCAGCGTTAGTGGCCCATGTTCAAAGCACAACTGTGGCGTACGGGGTGCAAGAATGATGGCACCATTGCTCAAACCCTCAAAGGCATCATGTTGGGCAAAGATCTTTCAAGTTTTCTTATTTGAACTTGCTCATGTGATACCAAAACTGTGTTTGCACCTCTGGTTTCTCCAGCCTGATATCGCCCTACTCTCACCGGTGTTTTCTACAAAAACACTGAACAATTTGATCTGGCTGAAGCATAAGGTGCTACACCAACTTCCAGCGTCTACCGTACAGCTGGAGCACCTCCAGACCTGGAAAAACAAACCAAAGCAAACACTACAGGAAGATTTAGTAAGCTAATTATACGTACCTCATCTAGCCCTAGAGAGCTCCCTGGGAAACTTGGAATTTTCTCCCTACGCTAGGAGACAAACTTCCTTCTGTACTCTGGC